CAATCCTATTGGGTACGCACTATTATTAGCCCCACTTTACAAGTGAGAAAAATAAAGGCCTAGCGCGATTATGCAATAGAGTCAGATTTCAAACGCTGAACTTCTGACCTTGTGAAAGGAGCTTGGAAGAGATTCTAGGTATAAGGAGATGGTGGGTGGTACCATGCAGAGATGATTGGGAAACTGTAAATTAATGCATGCCTGTGTCCAGAGGTCAAGGAGAGGGAGAAGAGGCCTCTCTAGACAAAAGTGATACTCCAGGATGTACTGCAAGTCACAGACTCCTTCCCAATTAACCTTGGTGCCCTGGGACCTCTTACATTTCATTCCCTCCAGCCTTCTCTCTGCTTCACAGTAAAGGCCCCCTCGGAGAAACTGACTGCCCTCTCCTTGGAGACTTTCAGCAGTCGTTGCTGAGAAGACTCTCCCAAACCCCTGTCCAAAACTTACTGCTTTCTTAGCAGCCTTTCTCTTATGGATCCGGTGCTAGACCGCTGGGTTTTTAAATCTACATTCTTTTACAATTTGATTATCTACAGCAAAAATTGCATTGTTATGGACTACGCCAGGATAAGAATGTTTTCTGTACAGATGAAAAACAGCTATATTTTTCTATAGCCTGCCTATTGAAAAAAAAAAAAAAAAAAAAAAAAAAAACCTCAGGATCTACCCCAAGGATCCCAAGAGCCTAGAAAAAGCTGAAGGACGTTTAATTTCCCTTTGTGAGACACATTCCAGCCATCCAAGGGAAATCAAGCCACTTGTCACAAAGTGAGAGGAAAGAACCCCAGGTGGGGAAGACAGAGACACTTGAGAAGGAAATCTGAAGAGGGTTCTTATCTGCTTCATACCTTATCAGCTTACACAGGAAGCTGTGTTTCTCAAAGCTTGTGTTTGTCATTTTGAGACGCACAGGGCTATAAATATGAGTTTCATTAGTACATACTGGTTTCAGGTCTCAATCCCTGAAACCGTGTGGCAAATAAAATCTGCTGGAGACAAGACAAAGTGACTTATTGCAGAAATATTTAATGAACTCCTTTGAGCAAGGCTCTATTCTAGACAGTGAAGGAAAAAGAAACAAGACATCAATAGTCTTCAAAGGGTACACGTGCCTACAATACCTGCACAGCAAGGAAGCAGAAGAGAGGCCTAGGGAGACACAGAAAGCAGAGAAAAGGAAATTCAAGTCCAGGTGGGTGGTCAAAATGCATCCCCACCTGTCCTAGGCAGCTCTGAAGGGAAGTTAGGCAGCTGTATACAAACTGTGGAGTGTGGTAGGGTGTTTTTGCCAAGCACCTTATCTAAGCTGAGCCATAGTCATTTACTGAAAAGAGAAGACATTTGGTAGAGGTGGTCTGCCACCTGAGATGGGGTGAAATATGGGCTTATAAGACGATATCTACAGTTCCTCCTCAGATGTGCCTTCTAGTCGAATATTGGACCAAGTGTGAAAAGACAGAAAGAAAAAAATAGGGGCCTCGATTTATTTACCTAGTCGTGAAGCATTCAGATAATACACGTTTTAAATAGAGATAAAATAGAGCCAGAACTTTGGGCAGAAAAGAAATCTGCCTACTTCTCTGCCCCTCCTCTGCACACACTCTGGTCCAAGCCACCTCACCTCTCCTCCCAGCTGTCATAATAACCCCTCCTCACTTCTACCCCTGCCCCTATCATCTATTTTCAACAGAGCAACCAGAGTGGCCCTTTTAGAATTGCATGAGTTTCTGATTGCTGCTCTAGCAAATCACCACAAATGTAGTTGCTTAAAACAACACAAACATATCATCTTATTGTTCTGGAAGCAGGAAGTCCAAAAATGGATCTCACAAGGCTAAAATCAAGGTGTTTCTTCAAGACTGAGTCCCTTCTGGAGGCTCTAGAAGAGAATCTGTTCCTGGCCTTTTCTAGCTTCTAGAGGCTGCCACATTCCTTGGGTCATGGATGCATGCTTCCACCATTATATTGCCTTCTCTGATTTTGACTCTGCTGCCTCCCTCTTATAAGAACCCTTGTGATTACAATGGGCCCACCCTTATAATCTTTCCATTGTAAGATCCTTAACTTCATCACATCTGCAAAGTGTCTTTTACCATATAAGGTCACATAGCCACAGGTTCTGAGGTTTAGGACATGGACATCTTTGCAGGAGGGGGCATTAATCTGCCTACCACAAAAATCATCTCTTTTCTCTGCACAAAATGTCCAGTGTTGCTCTATCTCAAGAGAGAAGCCAGCTCTTACAAAGGCTTCAGGGCCCTGCTTGATCTTCACACACCCACCCTGTTACCTCTCTGACCTCAAATCACTGCCAGAAGCAGACCCTCTATGAAGCTTAAGCTTCAGCTCACCTCACTTGCACCTTCCATCCCAAGGCCCTGGGAATAGCACTAGAAATTTGTTTGCATTGCTTTTACTCTGTTTTGCCTTTTGATTTGCAATATTAAAATATTTTAGCCACAAGAGCTAAGACCATTGTCTCCTCCACTCTATTTCCTCCTGTCACATTTTGCCTCGTGTGAGATGATGCTGGAATCCACATGAGGGGCTCTCAAGTGGGAAATACATTGAGTTTGTGTTTAGTGGAGTGTATTTATGTGATTCATTGTCACTTCTGTATAGATTTAACTTACTGGTGGTCACCCCAGAGTAGGAATGGTTCTCCTGTCTCCATGGGGAATCACCCAGCATTGCAAGATGAAGGTGCAGGGCCCACGGTCATATGGCAGCATGACTGTGTCTGATAGCACCTGGCACCAGAAGAATGTGGATCATGGAGGAGACAGAGGTTTGCAATACAGAGCCAGAAGTTAGCCTACACAGGATTCTTCCAATCATCACGCATGGAAAATTGTATGGGGAAGATTTAACTTTCATCAACTACTAGTCAAAACAGAATTTATCTCATGTTAGCAGTATTAGGAGAATGAAGTGCTGAGTATCCTCAATACTATATGTAATAAGCATATCATATATTTTTTTTACATGGGGATTGCAAAATATAAAATTTATTAGGATTCCTGTGCTTATAGAGTACAAACCAATTTGTACTAGTACTAAATATAGTAAGTACATCTGTCACAGCTCAGATATGAAGGAAACTCGATGGAAGTTTTCCCAAGGTTGACAATTCTAAATCTTTACATGACATTACGAAGTCATGAAGCTGAAAAACTATTCTAATCTATCATAAGCTAACATAATTTTTAAACTAATTTACATTAGTTCAAGATGGCAGCATAGAGGGTCGTGCGCTCACTCCCTCTTTTGAGAGCACCGGAATGACAACTAAATGCTGAACTATCATTGACAGGAAGACACTGGAACTCGCCAAAAAAGATACCCCACATCCAAAGACAAAGGATAAGCTGCAATGAGACAGTAGGAGGGGTGCAATCACAATAAAATCAAATCCCATAACTGCTGGGTGAGTGACTCACAAACTGGAGAACACTTATACCACAGAAGTCCACCCACTGGAGTGAAGGTTCTGAGCCCCACGTCAGGCTTCCCAACCTGGGGGTCTGGCAATGGGAGGAGGAATCCCCAGAGAATCAGACGTTGAAAGCCAGCGGGATTTGTTTGCAGAACTTTGACAGGACTGGGGGAAACAGAGACTCCATTCTTGGAGGGCACACACAAAGTAGTGTGCCCATCAGGACCCAGGGGAAGGAGCAGTGACCCCGTAGGAGACAGAATCAAATGCACCTGCTAGTGTTGGAGGGTCTCCTGCAGAGGCGGAAGGCAGCTGTGGCTCACCACAAGGACAAAGACAGTGGCAGCAGAAGTTCTGGGAAGTATTCATTGGTATGAGCCCTCCCAGTGTCCACCATTAGCCCCACCAAAGAGCCTGTATGCTCCAGTGCTGGGTCACCTCAGGCCAAACAACCAACAGGGAGGGAACTCAGCCCCACCTATCAGCAGACAAGCAAATTAAAGTTTTACTGAGTTCTGCCCACCAGAGTAACACCCAGCTCTACCCACAACGAGTCCCTCCCATCAGGAAGTTTGCACAAGTCTTTTCGACAGCCTCATCCATGCGAAGCCAGACAGCAGAAGCAAGAAGAACTACAATCCTAAAGCCCACAGAAGGAAAACCACAATTACAGAAAGATAGACAAAATGAAAAGGCAGAGGACTATGTTCCAGATGAAGCAACAAGATAAAACCCCAGAAAAACAACTAAATGAAGTGGAGATAGGCAACCTTCCAGAAAAAGAATTCAGAATAATGATAGTGAAGATGATCCAGGACATCAGAAAAAGAATGGAGGCAATGATTGAGAAGATGCAAGAAATGTTTAACAAAGACCTAGAAGAATTAAAGAACAACAACAAAAAGAGATGAACAATACAATGACTGAAATGAAAAATACACTAGAAGGAATCAATAGCAGAATAACTGAGGCAGAAGAATGGATACGTGACCTGGAAGACAGAATGGTGGAAATCACTGCATGGAACAGAAGAAAAAAGGATGAAAAGAAATGAAGACAGCCTAAGAGACATCTGGGACAACATTAAACACACCAACAATCACATTATAGGGGTCCCAGAAGGAGAAGAGAGAGAGAAAGGACCTGAGAAAATCTTTGAAGAGATTATAGTTGAAAACTTCCCTAACATGGGAAAGGAAATAGCCCCCCAAGTCCAGGAAGCACAGAGGGTCCCAGGCAGAATAAGCCCAAGGAGAAACACACCAGGACATACTATAATCAAACTGACAAAAAAGTAAAGACAAAGAAAAATAATTAAAAGCAACAAGGGAAAAACAACAAACAACATACAAGGGAACTCCCATAAGGTTAACAGCTGATTTCTCAGCAGAAAACCTGCAAGCCACAAGGGAGTGGCATGATATATTTAAAGTGATGAAAGGGAAGAACCTACAACCAAGAATACCCTACCCAGCAAGGATTTCATTCAGATTTGATGGAGAAATCAAAAGCTTTACAAACAAGCAAAAGCTAAGAAAATTTAACACCACCATACCAGCGCTACAACAATTGCTAAAGGAACTTCTGTAAGTGGGAAACACAAGAGAAGAAAAGGACCTACAAAAACAAACCCAAAATAATTAAGAAAATGGTAATAGGAACATACCTATCGATAATTACCTTAAATGTGAATGGATTAAATGCTCCAACCGAAAGACATAGACTGGCTGAATGGATACAAAAACAAGACCCATATTTATGCTGTCTACTACAGACTCACTTCAGGCCTAGGGACACATACAGCCTGAAAGTGAGGGGATGGAAGAAGGTATTCCATGCAAATGGAGATCACGAGAATGAGAGAGTAGTAATATTCATATCAGACAAAATATACTTTAAAATAAAGACTGTTACAAGAGACAAGGAAGGACACTACATAAGGATGAAGGGAACAATCCAAGAAGAAGATATAACAATTGTAAATATATATGCACCCAACATAGGAGCACCTCAATACATAAGGCAACTGCTAACAGCTATAAAAGAGGCAATCGACAGTAACACAATAATACTGGGGGATTTTAACACCTCACTTACACCAATGGACAGATCATCCAGACAGAAAATTAATAAGGAAACACAAGCTTTAAATGACACAACAGACCAGTAGGTTTAATTGATATTTATAGGACATTCCATCAGAAAACAGCAGATTACACTTTCTTTTCAAGTGCACACAGAACATTGTCCAGGATAGATCACATCTTAGGTCACAAATCAAACCTCAGTAAATTTAAGAAAATTCAAATTGTATCAAGCATCTTTTCTGACCACAACACTATGAAATTAGAAATCAATTACAGAAAAAAAACTAAAATAATAGAAACACATGGAGGCTAAACAATACACTACAAAGTAACCAAGAGATCACTGAAGAAATCAAAGTGGAAACCAAAAAATATCTAGAGACAAATGACAATGAAAACATGATGAGTCAAAGTCTATGGGATGCAGCAAAAGCACTTCTAAGAGGGAAGTTTATCGCAACACAATCCTACCTCAAGAAACAAGAAAAATCTCAAATAAACTATCTAACCTTACACATAAAGTAATTAGAGAAAGAAGAACAAACAAAACCCAAAGTTAGTAGAAGGAAAGAAATCATAAAGATCAGAGCAGGAATGAATGAAATACAAACAAAGAAAACAATACCCAAAATCAATAAAACTAAAAGCTGGTTCTTTAAGAAGATAAACAAACTTGAAAAACCTTTAGCCAGACTCATCAAGAAAAAGAGGGAGAGGACGCAAACCAATACAATTAGAAATGAAAGAGGAGAAGTTACAATGGACACCGCAGAAATAAAAAGCATCATAAGAGACTACTACAAGCAACTATATACCAATAAAATGAACAACCTGAAGAAATGCACAAATTCTTAGAAAGGTATAACCTTCCAAGACTGAACGAGGAATAAATTGAAAATACGAACAGACTAATCACAAGTAATGAAATTGTAACTGTGATTAAAAATCTTCCAACAAACAAAAGTCCAGGACCAGATGGCTTCACAGGTGAATTCTATCAGACGTTTAGAGAAGAGCTAACACCCATCCTTCTCAAACTCTTCCAAAAAATTGCAGAGGGAGGAACACTCCCAAACTCATTCTACAAGGCCACCATCACCCTGATACCAAAACCAGACAAAAATACTAGAAAAAAAGAAAATTATAGACCAATATCACTGATAAATATAGATGCAAAAATCCTCAGCAAAATACTATCAAACAGAATCCAGCAACACATTAAGAGGATCATACACCATGATCAAGTGGGATTTATCCCAGGGATGCAAGGATTCTTCAACATATGCAAATCAATCAATGTGATACAACATAGTAAAATACTGAAGAATAAAAACCATATGATCATCTCAATAGATGGAAAACAAGCTTTTGACAAAATTCAACACCCATTTATAATAAAAACTCTCCAGAAACTGGGCATAGAGGGACCCTACCTCAACATAATAAAGACCATATACAACAAACTCACAGAAAACATTCTCAATGGTGAAAAACTGAAAGAATTTCCTCTAAGATCAGGAACAAGACAAGGATGTCCACTCTCACCACTATTATTCAACATAGTTTTGAAAGTCCTAGCCACAGGAATCAGACAGGAAAAATAAATAAAAGGAATACAAATTGGAAAAGAAGAAATAAAACTGTCACTGTTTGCAGATGACATGATACTATACAGAGAATCCTAAAGATGCTACCAGAAAACTAATAGAGCTAATCAATGAATTTGGTAAAGTTTCAGGATACACAATTAATGCACAGAAATCTCTTGCATTCCTATACACTAACAATGAAAGATCAGAAAGAGCAGTTAAGTAAATAATCCCATTCACCACAGCAACAAAAAGAATAAAATACCTAGGAATAAACCTACCTAAGTAGGTAAAATACCTGTACTCAGAAAACTATAAGACACTAATGAAAGAAATCAAAGATGACACAAACAGGTGGAGAGATGTACCGTGTTCTTGGATTGGAAGAATCAACATTGTGAAAATGAGTATACTACCCAAAGCAATCTACAGATTCAATGCAATCCCCATCAAATTACCAATGGCATTTTTCATAGAACTAGAACAAAAAATCTTAAAATTTGTATGGAGTCACAAAAGATCCCAAATAGTCAAAGAAATCTTGAGAAGAAAAAAAACAAAAAATGGAGCTGGAGGAATCAGACTCCCTCGCTTCAGACTATACTACAAAGCTACAGTAATCAAGACAACATGGTACTGGCACAAAAACAGAAATATAGATTAATGGAAAAGGATAGAAAGCCCAGCAATAAACCCACCTATTGTCAACTAATCTATGACAAAGCAGGAAAGGATATACAGTGGAGAAAAGACAGTGTCTTCAATAATTGGTGCTGGGAAAACTGGACAGCTACATGTAAAATAATGAAGTTAGAACACTCCCTAACACCATACACAAAAATAAACTCAAAATGGATTAAACACCTAAATGTAAGGCCAGACACTATAAAACTCTTAGAGGAAAGCATAGGAAGAACACTCTTTGACATAAATCACAGCAAGATCTTTTCTGACCCACCTCCTAGAGAAATGGAAATAAAAACAAAAATAAACAAATGGGACCTAATGAAACTTAAAAGCTTTGCACAGCAAAGGAAACCATAAACAAGATGAAAAGACAACCCTTAGAATGGGAGAAAATATTTGCAAACAAAGCAACTGACAAAGGATTAATCTCCAAAATATATAAATACCTCATGCAGCTCAATATCAAAAAAACAAAAAACCCAATCCAAAAATGGGCAGAAGACCTAACTGTACATTTCTCCAAAGAAGACATACAGATGGCCAAGAGGCATAGAAAAGCTGCTCAACATCACTAATTATTAGAGAAATGCAAATCAAAACTACAATGAGGTATCACCTCACACTGGTTAGAATGGGCATCATCAGAAAATCTACAAACAATACATGCTGGAGAGGGTGTGGAGAAAAGGGAACCCTCTTGCACTGTTGGTAGGAATGTAAACTGATACAGCCACTATGGAGAACAGTATGGAGGTTCCTTAAAAAACTGTAAATAGAACTACCATATGACCCAGCAATCCCACTGCCAGGCATATACCCAGAGAAAACCATAATTCAAAAAGACACATGCACCCCAATGCTCATTGCAGCACTATTTACAATATTCAAGTCATGAAGCAACCTAAATGTCCATCAACAGACGTATGAATAAAGAAGATGTGGCACATATATACAATGGAATATTACTCAGCCATAAAAGGAAATGGAATTGAGTTATTTGTAGTGAAGTGAATGGACATAGTGTCTGTCGTACAGAATGAAGTAAGTCAGAAAGAGAAAAACAAATACCGTATGCTAATATATATATATGGAATCTAAAAAAAAAAAAAAGTTTCTGAAGAACCTACGGGCAGGATAGGAATAAAGACGCAGATGTAGATAACAGACTTGAGGAAACGCGGAGGGGGAAGGGTAAGCTGGAACGAAGTGAGAGAGTGGCATGGACATATATACACTACCAAATGTAAATAGATAGCTAGTGGGAAGCAGCCGCATAGCACAGGGAGATCAGCTTAGTGCTCTGTGACCACCTAGAGGGGTGGCATAGGGAGGGTGGGAGGGAGATGCAAGAGGGAGGGGATATGGGGATATATGTATATGTATAGCTGATTGACTTTTTTATAAATCAGAAACTAACACACCATTGTAACTCAATTATACTCCAATAAAGATGTTAAAAAGAAAAATGAAGATGTGGTACATATATACAATGGAATATTACTCAATCATAAAAAGGAACGAAACTGGGTCATTTGTAGAGACATGGATGGACCTGCAGACTGTCATACAGAGTAAAGTAGGTCAGAAAGAGAAAAACAAATATTGTATATTAACAGATGTACGTGGAATCTAGAAAAATGGTGCAGACAAACCGGTTTGCAAGGCAGAAATAGAGACACAGATGTAGAGAATAAATGTATGGACACCAAGGGGGAAAAGCAGAGGTGGGTGTGGGGGGCATGAATTGGGAGATTGAGATTGACATATATACACTAATATGTATAAAATAGATAACTAATGAGAACCTGCTGTGTATTACATGCTACTCCACTTCGCTGTACAGTAGAAAATAACACAACATTGTAAAACAACTATACCTCAATTTAAAAAGAAAAATTAATTTAAATAATGTGCTAGAGGAAAAATTGAATTATCTTTCTAGTGTCTCTATAGAAAATTATATAACAAAATAATGGTCATGAAAGAGGCAATCAAAAAATATGGGGCCAAAAATACAGGAAGAAAGGTATTATAAAAGTGTATCAGGGGCTTCCCTGGTGGCGCAGTGGTTGAGAATCTGCCTACTAATGCAGGGGACATGGGTTCGAGACCTGGTCTGGGAAGATCCCACATGCCGCGGAGCAACTAGGCCCGTGAGCCACAACTACTGAGCCTGCGCATCTGGAGCCTGTGCTCCGCAACAAGAGAGGCCGCGATAGTGAGAGGCCCGCGCACCGCGATGAAGAGTGGGCCCCGCTTGCCACAACTAGAGAAAGCCCTCGCACAGAAACGAAGACCCAACACAGCCAAAAATAAATAAATAAATTAATTAATTAATTAAAAAAAAAAAAAGTGTATCAGGCAGTGAATTAATGAAGATATTATGTTATTTTTTTGGGTTTTGTGAAATGTATGGTATGTTTCAGATTTTCAAATTTGTGATATATAGGGATTTATTTTCTCATGCTAAATGAACATGTCCTTTCATACCTAATTTTGTATTAGTTTAAAGCCTCAAAAAACTGGATCCAGCCATGATAACCACCCTCCCCCCTGCTCATTCAACTCCAGTCACAGTGGCCTCTATGTTGTTCCTTGGACATGCCAGGCCCACTCCCACCTCGAAGCGTTTGCACTTGCTGCTCCCTCCACCTACAATGCTTATCCTCCAGATAACTACATAGCTCCCCTCTCACTTCTTTCAAATCTTTGCTCAACTATGTCTTTCTCAATTCAGCCTTCCCTGATTATCCTTTTTAAAACTGCAGCACTTCCAATGTACAAGATGACTTACTTATTCATTTATATTGCTGACTATCTTTCCCTCCCCCCACAAGAATGTAAGCTCCATACAGATGGAAGGTTCTTTTATTTTTTTAAATCTGTTTTGTCCACAGTTGTTTTTTTCTGTTTGGAACAGTGTCTGGCACATAACAAGTGTTCAGTAAGTATTTGTGAAATGGCTGGCTGGCTGACTGGATGAATGGATAAATGAATAAATGAATGAATGAACTACCAATCAAAGTTTAGATTATCAAGAGACAACCAGCACTGCCACAGTGAGACAAGATCATTCCAGCCAAAATCACTGAAATGTTATGTCTTAATTGGTTTATTCACCGCATGAAGGTAGATTTACAATTCATAGTAGGATTTTAATTTCTAAATTATTAAAAGTATTTTCTTTATAGAAAATACCATGGTTGGGATTGTCTCATAAACTTTCAGATTTCATTCCACCATCAAAAGAAAATCCAGATTTCAAAATTAAGCCAAGAAATAAAAAAATTTTATTTTCCTTTAAATTAGGAAGTTCTGTTCAAATGAATAGTGAAAGCAACATTAGTTGAGAAGTAGGTCCACCAGAGAACTATAACTCAAGTAGCATTTAATAAAACTACTTAAAATAATAATGACAGCCACCATTCATTAAGTGCTTGCTATATGCCAGATACTGGCTCAAATACTAAATTAAAGGTGAGTTCTAAGGTGTGGGTATGTGGAAGGAATATAAAAGCATTTTTTAATAATAAATGATTATAATTCTCGGGATGAAATTTTTCAATTAAGAAATTTTTTTATAAAACCAAAGTATGACAATTAATATTATACATTTGGGAATCCTAAATAATAAAGAAATGGAGAATTGGAGCTATGTATTTGGAAATATGTTCTAAGCACAATAAATATGTATGACATAGACTGCTATTCTGAGTTTTATTATTTTATTATTCACTGTAATGAGGTAGTTCAAGATAGATTTATATTTGTGTATGTGTCATAGCTAAAGTTTAAACTCATTCTAGCAGATATTACTCAGCCATAAAAAAGAACAAAATATAATGCCATCTGCAGCAACATGGATCGATCCAGCAATTGTCATACTGAGTGAAGTCAGACACAGAAAGACAAATATCATATGATATCCCTTATATGTGGAATCTAAATAAAAAGTGTACAAATGAACTTATTTACAAAACCAAAGTAGAGTCGTGGATGTAGAAAACAAACTTATGGTTATGAGGGGATAAGGGGTTGGGGGGGGGAGGGAAAAACTGGGAGATTGGGATTGACATATACTCACTACTATATATAAATTAGATAACTAATAAGAACCTGCTGTATAACACAGGGAACTCTACTCAATACTCTGTAATGATCTATATGGGAAAAGAATCTAAAAAAAAAAGAAAGAGTAGACATATGTATATATATAACTGATTCACTTTGTTGTACACCTGAAACTAACACAACATTGTAAATCAACTATACTCCAACAAAATTGTTTTTAAGTTAGAAGAAAAAAAAGAATATAATAATAATGGTTATATAATAATGAATCCAACCTGGCTTATATTTGTCTTTATACCCACACAATTGTAAAACATTATTTTTAATATTTTTTGGAGGAAGGGGCCCATGAAGGCCCCATGAAAGACATATGCGACCTTGGTCTGATTCTTCCCATCCCATACCCCATGAGCATGGTAAGGGCTTCACTGTGGAGTAATGCAAGTTGCTCCACAACCCTCACATTTTGGAATCAAGAACAGCTTTAGCTAGCTTAAAGAAAGCCTCAAATTATCTGCTTTTTTTGCTTCCCATATTACCAAAGTACCTAAAATCTGAATTAGGTATTTTACACAGGAACGATGCTCTTCCTGATTGTTTTGTAGAAAAGCACATATACGCTTTAAAGTAATTGTCTCTGGACCTCCCATTTGAGCTTATACAGAAAGGGTGAATTACAAATAACAAATAGAAAATAGATTGTAAGCATGTTTTAAATATTTGAGTCAATTAGAATTTTTCACATCTTGCAGAATGTGGGATTTACGTGAATATGGAGATAATAAATAATAAAGCATATATCTAGGAGAAAATTTTTGTTTTCCCACAACACTCATGGTTGGCTTGTTAAATTCTGACATACATCATCAATGTCCCAAGCTTCCTGATAATGTTGTAGAAGTTTATATAAATGTTAAGTGCACCTTTCTTAAATGTTGCAGATAACTGCAACAGTTAAATAACTCATTGAGGTAAAATATCACTTCTGCATGATTTTCCCCCTGACAACCCCAGGTTGATTAGAAGTTCTTTATTCTGTGCTTCTCTGGAAAATATACTGGTAGCAACGTTTAGTAAACTGTTATTAAGTTATCACTGTTACTGTAAACTTATTTGTGTGAGGATACATGTGTTTTATTGAATCATAAAAAGCTACGTGAAGTCAAGAAAAGTGGGCACTACCTAGCATATCACAGGCACTCAAAAATATTTGCTGACTAACTGAATAAGTAAATGAATATTTTAGATTGAAAAAGGTCTCCAGTCTATAACCAGATCTATAGGAAGTGATATAACCTAAAGAGGCCTCATTCCCAATCACGATGATATAAATGATGGTGACACCAATGTCAGTCCCTCAAGTCATTTGGCCATTCTAACAAGTCCAAGAGGAAGGAACTGACCTCAGCTTTCTCTGCCAATCAGCACCACAGTGGATACAGACCCAGCTATGTAGCTAAAACATTTAGCCTCATTACACAGCTATTTACAAATGAGCTATTTACAGCTCATTACAAATACCTATGACTGACTGTAAAACGAAATTCTATATGAGGAAGATCAGCAAGTTGCATTCCCCATCAAAACAGTTTCAAGTAACTAATTTATTAATTGTCCATTTAAAAAAACAAGTATTGGGCTTCCCTGGTGGCGCTATGGTTAAGAATCTCCCTGCCAATGCAGGGGACATGGGTTCAAGCCCTGGTCCAGGAAAATCCCACATGCCATGGAGCAACTAAGCCCATGCGCCACAGCTACTGAGCCTGCATGGCACAGCTACTGAAGCCCATGTGCCTAGGGCCCATGCTAGCAACAAGAGAAGCCACCACAATGGAAGCCTGCACACCGCAAAAAGAGTAGCCCCCGCTCACTGCAACTAGAGAAAGCCAGTGCACAGCAATGAAGACCCAATGCAGCCAAAAATAAATAAATAAAATTTATAAATATTTATATATAATCTATATAGTATTTGTGTCCAAAATATTCAATCCAAATAGATTTAGGTGCTGGACTGGACTTTTCCAAAATTCAATATAATGAAAAACTATTCTAAATCTAAAAGAAAATAAAGGGATTAAAAGCCAAACACAATGTGTGAACATTGGTTAAATATTGTGCCAAAAATAAAAACAAGCTCTGAGACATGAGACATGGAGACAATTGAGAAAACTGAAAAATGGAATGTATGTTACTTATTCATCAATGTTACATTTCTTAGGTGTAGTGATGATGTTGTAGTTAAGTAGGAGAATGTCCTTGTTCTTAGGAGATCGGTACTGAAATATTTGGGGTGGAATAGGGAGGGTGGGAGGGAGATGCAAGAGGAAGGAGATATGGGAATATATGTATACATATAGCTGATTCACTTTGTTATACAGCAGAAACTAACACAACATTGTAAAGCAGTTATACTCCAATAAAGATGTTTAAAAAAATATTTGGGGGTAAGAGTCATGATGTCTACAACTTACTTTCAAATATCCTAATGACAACAAAAAGTGTATGTGTGTGCATGTGTGTGGGTGTGTGCTGGTGGCAGTGAGGGGAAGGAGAGGAGGCAAATGTGGCAAAATGGTAATAATTGTAGAATTTAGGTGAAAGGTATTTGGGTGTTTTAATTTTTTTGTAAAATCAAATATTTTCAAAATTAAAAGTTAGAGGAAAATGTAAAAGAGAATAATGTTATAGAGAAAGGTTTAAAGACAGAAAAGGTATCTATGATTACAATATTATGTTTTAAGAGCAGGTTCAAAGTAATGCACACCATAGTTCTGTTTGGGAATATATGGATGAATATACATTAATGTATTAATAGAGGTCACTGAATTGGAGTGTTTATCTCTGGATTGTCCAATTACAGTCACTTCTATTTTCTTATTTTTATTTATAAAAAATTGCTTATTTTATATACATTCACATATATGTACAAATTATTTTAAAAGAGTGAGAATGAACTTATCAAAACCTTGCAACAATATATTCTGTTGGAAACTTGTCCCTGTCAAAACTGGTTAATCTATTGTTTACACTATTAAGATTATACCAGTGACTGGATATAAATAAATCATTTTATTTGAAAAAGAAAAACATGATGACAATAATTCTAGACTCTTAAATTGGCACTGGGAATATGAAAGTATTGCCCCAGAGGGCATAACTAATGACCTATGGGTGCGAACTACATTGAGACAGATTTCAGCTCATTATGAGACTGAACGTTGCAATGAATGTGTCCAACAAGGGAACAGACTGAACCATGAAATAATTGCCTATCAAAATAGCTTAATCACCTGTCAGAGATGATTAGAAGGAGGGGTAGGGTATTAGATATACTCTAATCCAGCCTTTGGTCTCTAACAAGTCCATAGTCAAAAATAAAGAAAATAGGGACTTCCCTGATGGTCCAGTGGTAAAGAATTTGCCTTCCAATGCAGGTGATGCGGGTTCGATCCCTGGTCGGGGAACTAAGATCCCACATGCTGTGAGGCAACTAAGCCCACTTGCCACAACTACTGAGCTTGCACGCCTCAACTAGAGAGCCCACATGTTGCCAGCTACAGAGCCCCTGCACCCTGGAGCCTGCATGCCATAACTAGAGAAGAGAAAACCCGCACGCCACAACTAGAGAGGAGGCTGCACACCTCAACGAAGAGCCCACGCACTACAACAAAAGATCCCACATGCCTCAATGAAGATCCCATGTGCCACAACTAAGACCCAATGCAGCCATAAAAAAAATAATTAAAGTTTTAAAAATAATAAAGAAAATAGCAGTAATAAACTGAATACATTTCCATTGAAGGAAAAACTACACAATACTCTGTTGCTGACTAACAAGACATAAGACAAGATTAATACTCTCTGGTCAGGATGCTGTATTTTTAAAAATTGGAATACTATTAACACTGTTCAGCTAGACCAATTACTCAACCAAAAACAAAGTGTGTTACTTGCCATCATGAATCCAAATTATTTCTAAACATATGAACTTAGTCTTAAGTGTTGGTGTATTTATACAATGGAATACTGTTTTAAAAGAAAAAATGAAGAGGAACAAACTACTGATATATACAACCATATGGATATATGTCAAAAAAACCTTATGCTGAGTGAAAGAAGCAAGATACAAGAATACATGCTGTATGATTTCATTTATATCGATTTCAAAAACAGGCAAAACCAATCTGTTAGAAATCAGAAGGTGGTTGTGTAGAACACAGGGAGGATGAATAAAAAGGGGCACAAGGGAACTTTCTCAGGTAATAGAAACGTTCTAACTCTTGCTTTTTGGTGGTACTTACACATTTACATACAGCCTTTAAAGTTCATCAAATGGAACACTTAAGATCTGTGTGGTTTTTGTTTATAAATTACACCTCTGTGAAATTAAAATAAATATTAAAAAATCATATTTGCTTTGTGTCACCTAAAGAACTCAATACTTACCAAGTGATTTCTTTTTACTGCAGAACATTATTGCACCTGATTTTTTTTCACCAGGCCTCAACAGCTGGCCTACATAAGAAAACAAGAAATGTACACAACATTAGTATTTGAGAAATGCTCATTAACCATAAATTGCCATCATTCAGCTTTCTTCTTAGTCAAATCTAGATGACTAGGAAGTCATTAACACAGTAAGGAATAACAGACTCCATTTATGAGACTTAAATCTAACAAGATAAGAATAATTCTGTAACTCACAGACATAGAAAACAAACTTATGGTTACCAAAGGAGAAAGGAGGAATGGATAAATTAGGAGTTTGGGATTAAAATATACACACTACTATATATAAAATATATAACCAACAAGGACCTGCTGTATAGTACAGGAATTATATTCAATATCTTGTAATAACCTCTAATGGAAAAGAATCTAAAAAAGAATATATATATATATATATATATATATCTATCTGAATCACTTTGCTGTACACTTGAAAGTAACACACCATTTTAAATCAATTATATTTCAATTTAAAAAATTTTTAAGGAAACAAATAATTCTATACAAAAATTATCTATTTGTATTATGGCGGCTATATGGAAGAATGTAAGGTAAGCACAAGTGTAATATTCAATTTGGCATTAAAATGGAGCCAAATTTTCTAACATATCCAAAACCCTGTGAATCAGAATATCTCAGAGGTGACACTCCATTACCTGCCTTTTATTCAAGTACCAAAAGTAATTCCTTCCCAAAACAGTCACCCAAGTCCAGGAAGTGCAGAGTCCCATATAGAATTAATTGAACAAGGAACACGCCAAGACACATAGTAATCAAACTGACAAAAACTAAAGACAAAGAGAAAATATCCAAAGCAACAAAGGAAAAGCAACAAATAACATACAAGGGAATCCCCATGACACTATGAGCTGATTTTTCAGCAGAAACTCTACAAGCCAGAAGGGAGTGGAACGATACATTTAAAGTGATGAAAGGGAAAAACTGACAACCAAGAATACACTACCCAGCATGTCTCTCATTCAGAATTGATGGAGAAATCAAAAGCTTTACAGACAAAAAAAAGCTAGAAGAATTCAGCACCACCAAATGCTAAAGGAACTCTTTCAATAGAAGAGGCAACAGCTAGAAACAGGAAAATTACAAAATGGTAAAGCTCACCAGTACAGGTGAACATACAGTAAGGGTAGGAAATCATCTACACACAAATACGGTATCAAAACAGTAATTGTGAGAGAAGGAGAGCAAAAATGCAGGATATTTGAGATGCATTTGAAATTAAGAGACCAGCAACTTAAAACAATCATGTATACATATAGACTGCTATATCAAAACCACATGGTAACCACAAATGAAAAATCTAAAATAGATATACACACAAAAAAGAAAAAGAATCCAAACACAACAATATAATCATCAAATCACAAGAGAGGGGAACAAAAGAGAAAAGGAATAAAAGACCTACAAAAACAAATCCAAAATATTTTTTTAAATGGCAATAAGAACATACATATCAATAATTAACTTAACTGTAAATGGATTAAATGCTCAAACCAAAAGAAATAGACTGGCTGAATGAATACAAAAATAAGACCCATACATATGTTGTCTATAAAAGACCCACTTCAGATCTAGAGACTGAAAGTGAGGGGATGGAAAAAGGTATTCCATGCAAATGGAAATCAAAAGAAAGCTGGAGCAGCAATACTCATATCAGACAAAATAGAGTTTAAAATAAAGACTGTTACAATAGACAAATGACACTACATAATGATCAAGGGCTCAACTGAAGAAGATATAACAATTATAAATATATATGCACTCAACAGAGGAACACCTCAATACATAAGGCAAATGTTAACAGACATAAAGGAGAAATCGACCACAATACAATAACAGAAATCGACCACAATACAATAATACAATAATAGAGCACTCCACTTATATAATGGACAGATCATCGAGACTGGAAATCAATAAGGAAACTCAGGCCTTAAATGACACATTAGAACACATGGACTTAATTGATATTTATAGAGTGCTCCATCCAAAAGCAGAAGAATACACCTTCTTTTCAAGTGTACATGGAACATTCTCCAGAACAGATCACATGCTGGGCCACAAAGGAAGCCTTGGTAAACTTAAGAAAACTGAAATCATATCAAGCATCTTTTCCGACCACTACACTATGAGATTAGAAATCAATTACAAGAAAAAAATGCAAAAACACAAACACATAGAGGCTAAACAATATGCTATGAAACAACTGATGGCTCACTGAAGAAATCAAAGAGGAAATAAAAAGAATACCTAGAGACAAATGAAAATGAAAACACAACAATCCAAAACCTATGGGATGTGGCAAAAGCAGTTCTTAGATGGAAGTTTATAGTGATACAAGCTTACTTCAGGAAACAAGAAAAATCTCAAACAAACAACTTAACCTTACACCTAAAGCAACTAGAGAAAGAAGAACACATAAAACCCAAAGTTAGCAGAAGGAAAGAAATCACAAAGATCAGAGCAAAAATAAATGAAATAGAGACAAAGAAAAAAATAGCAAAGACCAATAAACTAAGAGTTGAAAAGATAAATAAAATTGATAACACTTTAGCCAGAGTCATCGAGAAAAAAAGGGAGAGGGCCCAAATCAATAAAATCAGAAATGAAAAGAAGAAATTACAACTGACACCACAGAAATTCAAAGGATCATAAGAGACTACTACAAGCAACTATACACCAATGAAAAGGACAACCTAGAAGAAATGGGCAAATTCTTAGAATGGTACAATCTCCCAAGACTGAACCAGTAAGAAATAGAAAATATGACTAGACCAATTGTATGTATTGAAATTGAATCTGTGATTAAAAACTCCCAACAAACAAAAGTCATGGAACAGATGGCTTCACAGGTGAATTCTATCAAACATTTAGAGAAGAGCTAACACCTAACATTCTGAAACTATTTCAAAAAATTGCAGAGGAAGGAACACTCCCAAATTCATTCTATGTGGCCACCATCACCCTGATACCAAATCCAGACAAAGCTACCATCAAAAAGAGAAAATTACAGGTCAATATCACTGATGAACATAGACATAAAAATCCTTAACAAATACCAGCAAACCAAACCCAGTAATACATTAAAAGGATCATACACCATGATCAAGAGGGATTTATCCCAAGGATGCAAGGACTTTTTAATATCTGCAAATCAATCAGTGTGATGTACCACATTAACAAATTGAAGAATAAAAACCATATGATCATCTCAATAGATGCAGAAAAAGCTTTTGACAAAATTCAACACCTATTTCTGATAAAAACCCTCCAGAATGTGGGCACAGAGGGAACCTACCTCAATATAATAAAGACCATATACCACAAACCTATAGCTAACATCATACTCAATGGTGAAAAAATGAAAGCATTTCCTCTAAGATCAAGAAAAAGACAAGGATGTCCACTCTCATCACTTTTATTCAACATAGTTTTGAAAGTCCTAGCCACAGCCATCAGAGAAGAAAAATAAATAAAGGGAATACAAATTGGAAAAGTAGTAAAACTGTCACTGTTTGCAGATGACATGAAACTATACATTGAAAATCCTAAAGATGCTACCAGAAAACTACTAGAGCTCATCAATGAATTCAGTAAATTTGCAGGAAAAGAAATTAATACACAGAAATCTGGTGCAATCCTATACACTAATAATGAAAGATCAGAAAGAAAAATTAAGAAAATCCCATTTACCATCGCATTAAAAAGTATAAAATACTTAGGAATAAACCTACTTAACAAGGCAAAAGACCTGTACTCCAAAAACTGTAAGATGCTGATGAAAGAAATCAAAGGAGACATAAACAGCTAGAAAGATATACCATGTTCTTGAATTGGAAGAATCAATACTGTCAAAATGACCATACTACCCAAGGCAGTTTACAAACTCAATTCAATCCTTATCAAATTATCAAAGGCATTTTTCACAGAACTAGAAGCAAAATTTTTTAAATTTGTATGGAAACATGAAAGACCTCAAATAGTGAAACCAATCTTGAGAAAGAAAAGCAGTTGCAGGAATCAGGCTCCCTGGCTTAAGACTATAGTACAAAGCTACAGTAATCAGGACAATATGGTACTGGCTCAAAAACAGAGATATAGATCACTGAAACAGGATAAAAAGCCCAGAAATAAACCGACTCACCTATGGTCAATTAATCTATGACAAAGGAGGTAAGAATACAATGGAGAAAAGAGAGTCTTCAATAAGTGGTGCTGGGAAAACTGAACAGCTACATGTAAAAGAATGAAATTAGAGCATTCTCTAACATCATACACAAAACTAAACTCAAAATTGATTAAAGATGTAAATGTAAGGGCCAGATCCTATAAAACTCTTAGAAGAAAACATAGGCAGAACACTCTGACATAAATTACATCAATATCAATATATATGTATATTCTTTTTCAGATTCTTTTCCCTTATAGATTGTTACATACTATTGAGTATAGTTCCCTGTACTATACAGTAGGTCCTTGTTGGCTATCTATTTTACACATAGTAGTGTGTATCTGTTAATGCCAGCCTCCTAATATAATCCTTCTCCCACCCTCTCTCCTATTTGGCAGCCATAAGTTTGTTTTCTGTGTCTGTGAGTCTCTTTCTGTTTGGAAATAGGATCATTTGTGTCTTTTTTTTCTTTTAGATGCCACAAAGAATTGATGTCATATGATATTTGTATTTCACTGTCTGGCTTACTTTACTTAGTAAGATAATAGGGAAGGGAAACATAAGCAAAAAATGGAATTACATCAAACTAAAAAGCTTTTGCACAGTGGAAGAAACTATCAACAAAACAAAAAGGCTACCTACTGCACTGGAGAAGATATTTGTAAATGATATATCTGATAAGGGGTTAATATCCAAAATATACAAAGAACTCATACAACTCAACATCAAAAAAAAAAAAAAAAACCCATTAAAAAGTGGTCAGAAGACCCGAAGAGACATTTTTCCAAAGAAGACATACAGATGGCAAACAGACACATGAAAAGATGCTCAACATCATGAATCAGCAGGGTAATGCAAATCAAAACTACAGTGAGGGACTTCCCTTGTGGATCAGTGGTTAAGAATCCGCCTGCCAATGCAGGGCACATGCGTTCGAGCCCCGTTCTGGGAAGATACCACATGCCACGGAACAACTAAGCCCATGTGCTATTAACTACTGAGCCTGCGCTCTAGACCCTGCAAGCCACAACTGCTGAGCCCATGTGCTGTAGCTACTGAAGCCCATGCTCTGCAACAAGAGAAGCCACCGCAATGAGGAGCCTGCACACTGCAACGAAGAGTAACCCCCGCTCAGCGCAACTAGAGAAAGCCTGTGTGCAGCAACGAAGACCCAATGTAGCCAAAAATAAATAAATAAAAATAAATTTATTTTTTAAAAAAGACATAAAGCACCCTTATGTTCATCACAGCATTATTTACAATACCCACGATATGGAAGCAACCTAAGTACCCATTGATAGATGAATGGATAACGAAGATGTAATGTATATATGCAATGGAATACTATTCAGCCATAAAAAAGAATGAAATCTTGCCAGTTTTGACAATATAGAAGGACCTAGAGGGTATTACGCTAAGTGAAATAAGACAAATACTGTATGATTTCACTTACTGGGCAACACAAATGAACAAATATAATGAAACAGAAACAGACTCATAGGTACAGAGAACAAACAGATAGTTGTGGGGGAGAGGGGCAAGGGGAGGGAGGATGAGTGAAATAGGGAGATTAAGAGGTATAAACTTCCAGTGACAAAATGAGTCATGAGGATGAAATGTACTGTGTGGGGAATATAGTCAATAGTAATATAATATCTCTGCATGGTGATAGATGGTAACTAGACTTATCATGGTGATCATTTTGTAATGTACAGAAATATGCAATCACTGTGCTGTGCACCAGGAACCAACACAGTGTTGTAGGTCAATTATACTTCAAAAAACAAACAACGGGGTCTTCCCTGGTGGCGCAGTGGTTGGGAGTCCGCCTGCCGATGCAGGGGACACGGGTTCATGCCCCGGTCCGGGAGGATCCCGCATGCCGCGGGGCGGCTGGGCCCGTGAGCCATGGCCGCTGAGCCTGCGCGTCCGAAGCCTGTGCCCCGCAGCAGGAGAGGCTGCAACAGTGAGAGGCCTGCGAACCGCAAAAAAACAACAAACAAAAACAAAAAAAACAACGAACTCTCAGAAAAAGAGATCAGATTTGTGATTACCAGAGGCAGGGGGTGGGAGGAGGGGGAATTGGATAAAAGTGATTAAAATGTACAAATTTCCAGTTAGAAGATAGTAAGTACTAGGG